GTTCTAGCACAAATTTACAAGTCATCATGACTGAGGGTTTGAGCATAATGGCATTGTTCAAACTGCTGATCATGCACTCTCACTCAGAAGCTGTAACTATGGCCTACTCAGCAATGAGCAGATATGGCTTTTTGAGAAAATCTCAATGGGGGATTATACAGTTCCTTAAAAGAGAAAATAGAACCTGGCTAAAATGTGATACTTTCTGTAGTGTGTAAATACAAGAATAATTTTATATTTACAACATTCTCAAAAAACTAAAACAATTGTTTTAAAACTAATGTAATGCAGTATTTATCATTTACCAACTTATAAAGAAAAAATATGAAAAAATTTTTTATTCATGAATTTATAAACATTTATTAACTTATTAAAATATGTGAAACAACGATAAGTAAATCCTTATTATTTACCATTTTATAAAGTTCAAATCATTTGGCAATTAGCCAATGTTTTACCAGCCAATCCAATAATAAATAAATACTGTAAATAAACAATCTAATAAATAAATAGTTGTCAATTCTCAAGAACAAAGAAAATTGTACAAATTCACTTTCATTATATGTTGAGGTTTTATTAAAATTCTAATCATTGCTTTTTAAAACAATAAAAATTGTTGAGGAGTGAAGGTAGTTAAAATAATAGTGGTGTTAAGGAAAAAGGCATCTTTTTGACACTCTGTTTTCTTGCAGGCAGGAAATTCCAAGTTTGCTTATGGGATGTTTGTGCATGTATGTGTAAGCATAATGTGTGAATATGTAAAATTGTGTTTATGTATGGATGTACATGTAAATGGAATTTGCTGAAATTTACTGGCTGTCTGTATTAGTATATACATGTATGTGCTTTAATGATAAACATCGATCTTATAAAAATATGGTTGGATATTCCAAAGTATGTATGGGATTTTTTTAAGTACAACTCCCAAAAATGAACTTCAATCTGTTGTTAACTGGAGCAAGAAATGACATGTTAATTTTAGTGTCTCCAAAGCAAAACTGCTCTCTTTTAATCATCTTAAAAAAGCTTTTTTGCCTTCCATCAGCATGGCTAATATTAATCTCCAGGAGAGTGACTCATTCAGCCTTCCTGGGCTACCATTTTCTGCTCATATAAAGTGTAATGATTATATTGAATCAGTTGCTATGACCACTACTAGGAAAGTTAGCTTACTGTGTCATGCTAGACAATTTCTCTTGCCAGAATCTATCCTATACATTTTTAAGTCTACCATTCTTCCATGGATATGGCTGCTACCATTAGTATAATGCTTCTACTATGTGTTTAGAGATTCTTGACAAAATACAAAGAATCTGCAATGTTACTGGTCCTGACCAGGCATCTCAGTTTCAGTCACTTTCCCACTGCCATAATGTAGCTTCTCTGTGCCTTTTCTACAAATATTTTTGGTACTTCTAATTTACAAATTTAATTGCAGTACTTGATTGGCAGATAGGTCTCATCATTTTACTTTTGAAATTGCTAGATGTAAACATAAGTTTTATGCCAACAATAACTTCTTTTTTTAGTTTTCTCTTCTGAAACTCTTTTCTGACTTTTTGGTTTCCAATCAACTTTGATTTTCACAACATTAACCATCATCTTCTGTCTCTTTGAATACTGTTCTCTAATACTGTTTTTTTGTTTTTTCAGATTTGTTCACTCTCAGTAACACCTTGCATCTTAATGGTTTTATTGCCTTAGTTGAAGTGAAGTAATTTTTTAAAAAAGTCTTCTATCAAAGAATTGGAAAAGGTGGAGTAATTAACTTTGAAAAAAAAGAAGTTCAAATATTTAAACTAAAACTCTATAAAAAGTATGTATATCAAGATCAGAAACAACTGATTTATAACAGGCAGCAATCAAATTGACAATATAAACTCAACACTTTTTGTACCAATAATGATTGCCACAAAGAACACATAGGAGAAGGAATCTTAATAGGAATTTAAATAAAAGATCATATGAAAAGAAAAGGTATCTTTTGCAAAACAACACACTCAGTGCATTAGTTGCTCACCATAATAAGTCTGACCAGAATAACAATTTGAAAAGTACTGCTTTCATTAAAAGTGAAAGCAATCTACTATGACAAAAAATGCATTTTGATCATTAGATCATCCACAGTAAAATTTATGTCCAGGTTCTTACAACATTTCAACTTAGCAGATCTTCAATTACTATAATTTGGGATGCTTAATAAGAGAAATAAAAAATATGAATGAGAACTTACAGAAAGTGAGTGAAAAAAAATTAATTTGATTTGAAAGTTTAAAATTTCAGCATTTCCAACATTTTCAGCATTTTCTATCTATGCATAATTATAATCAACATTTGCATTCTTATATCCTTCATCCCCTTCTTACATATATGATGTGATTGCATCAACAAAAACATTACTTTAGTCTGATGAAATGTGTCACATATGATTTTTCCTCTTTATCATTAATTTACCTGATATCGTGCTGATATTTAAAAATTTGTATATCATATTTCTCCCATTTATAAATATATATATATATATATATATATGAAGAAATATAGTTTTAAGGCATGCTATATTTATGGGATAAAGTGCTCAATATCAGAGAGCATATGTAAATATGTTGTGGCCTAAAAATTGTGTCTAGCATGAAACAGTCTGTTACCTCTGAGTGTTGACTTCAGTGTTCACTTTTATATATATATATATATATATATATATATATATATATATATATATATATATATATATATATATATATATATATATATATATATATATATATATATATATATATATATATATATATATATATATATATATATATATATATATATATATATATATATATATATATATATATATATATATATATATATATATATATATATATATATATATATATATATATATATATATATATATATATATATATATATATATATATATATATATATACAAACATTATCTTTCAAATTTAATTTTAAATTTTTTTACTTTTTAATTTTTAATGTAAATTATGGTTTATTTTTAATGTAAATTTCATTTATTTTGAATATAAATATACAAAATCATGTTTTTGTTTTTAAATAAGAACAAGTAATCTCCTTTAAATAAAAAAAAATTCACAAATGATTTTTTAGAATAGATTTTTTCAGTTTTAATTTTCAAATATATAATTCCTGCTTATTTTGATTGCCAAATATAATTTTAGAATTAAAAAAACTGTGATACGAACATAATATATAACTACTACCAACATTGTGACAATCAGATATATTATAATACAATTTGCATAATGGTCATTCCATAATGCACACCTGAAGATTGCATCATGCATGAAACTCAGAGTCATGTTAATAGTTAGGGATAACATATATATATATATATATACAGTGAATAGCTCTGTTATACTACATCAAGCAGTGTTTGATTAACATCAGCCCAATATGTGCAATATATATATATATATATATATATATATATATATATATATATATATATATATATATATATAAAACGATATAGGTTTTATTAAAAACGACTGAATGTGTGTGGCTCTTTGAGAATGTCAGGTACTTTTTGCTGTATATTCAGGTGTTGTAATGGATAATGGTTTGGAATAATTAATTGAAGATCCAGGTTCAAGTTCCAGTCATGTTCATAACATTTACTTATGTGTTACTTATCTCTTCTCCACTTGGCTATGGGTTAAATAACAAGACAGGCTGGGTTCTACAACATTGGTGGGCAACCATTCTCCAACAGAATGAAATGGCAACCAACTGTGAGAAAATCTTCTGCCTAGTCAGTCATGAATCGAAAGAGAGATGATCCCTGAAACCTGTATCACATATGGCACTTAATTGACTGATTAGTCGACAATCTGTTAATGCAGACACAGAAAAGAAACTGTAAAAGCTCTTAAACAAGTTAATAAAAGAAAGCAAAAGGAAAGGGCTATTAACTTAAAAAAAAGACAATATATAGTCAACAATCCAAGATATGAACTAGAAATTGGAAACTTCAGAATTAAGCAGTTACAATATTCTTGACAAAATCCAAAGAATCTGCAATGTTATCAATCCTGACCTAGCATCTCAGCTTCAGTCATTCCTCCACCACCGTAAACTTGCTTCCCTGTGCCTTTTCTGACTCAAAATTCTGATTTTTAACATTTTTTTCTCATTGTTCTTCTATCCGGTCTAAAGCCCTACTAATATATAATAAGTATTATTAGTCTTATTACACTGAAGTCAACACTGAGAGGTGACAGTTTGTTTCATGCCTGAGCACAATCTTCATGCATGTATCCACATTTTTATTTACATGCACTCTATCCCTAATATTTTTACACATAAACATAGCATACATTAAAATTATATTTTTATCAAATATATATATATAAACAAGTTATGTATGAGCATGTGTATACATACATGTATATAATTACATGTATTTTAATTGCATATATATATATATATATATATATATATATATATATATAGTCAAAAATTGGCAATCATTACTTTAATATCCAGTGCATTGTATACTAGGTTATCAAGTACAAGCAATACCAACACAGGAAGTTGTGGCATCTTGGAGCCAAAAATGTTTATTACTTCCAAAAAAAAATATGAATATGAAATACTATTCATAATAACATTCTGTCTTTTTCAAAAATATCATATTCATGATCCTCTACAACCTAAGATTTGAATTCTTTTATTTTTAATAGCATTCTATTAACGAGACACCGTTTTGACTTTAGGGTAGGCAAGGGTTTGAAGATGCTAATAGCTTTCAAATATCACAAGACAATCCATGTGAAATTAGAATTATTTCTTTCTTGCTTTTTAATTATTTAGTGTTAACTGGAAGTTGATTTCGCTTTTCAATTGGCAAAGAGTTGATAATGAGGCTAAAAGCTCTCAAATATTGCCATCACAATTCACATGCAGCTTAAAATATTGATTCCTTTATTTTTAGATGTTTTAAGCCAGACACTAATTTCAATTTAAGATAGGCAAGAGGTTAAAACATCCAACAAAAAGAGAGAGAGAAGGAAAGAGATAAAAAGAGAGAGAGAGAGAGAGAGAGAGATAGAAACTCCTGCCTTATTAACATAATAAACTCATGAGCCACTAATTTTTCATTACTTTAAGATAAAAGATTCAGTGATATCAACAATAGCAGTTTTAGCTTTCAAATATCATTAGAGCAATTCATGTGGAACATGGGAAATTAATTTCTTTTTAAAACTATTTTGTATTTCATGGACACTGCTATGAATTTTGAATAGGCAAAGAGCTGATAAACATGCTAATGGCTTTTGCATATTATCCATAGAAACCAGTTTCAATCTGTTTTTATCATCATTTTTTTTCACTTATTGGTAGTATTTTTAATTAAATAATATTTTTGCATTGCAGGAGTGTAAAAGACTTGATAACATTTTTCTTTTTTTTTGAGTAGGTTTGGAATATTATCACACAGTCCAGGTGAAAGCTTAAATATTAATGACTTTGTTTTTCTCCATAATATGTAATTTTTATGTTTTTTTTCTCTCCCTATTTTTAATTGCCTTCTAATATGGATTTTCATCATATCATAAAAAGCTAATGATATTCTTTTAAAGTTGCCATAATTTTACTGTGCACACATACATTGACATATTACAGAAATGGACGTATGTTTGTGTGTTGGTATAGGTGCATGTGCGTGAATGTATGTACATTTTACAGTGTTTTCTCTATTACTGAGGAACCGAATCTCCTGATGATGATTCTACAAGAAGAAAACTGGCTCCACAGTTTGTTTGCAGAATAATCAATATTCCAAATAAGAAAAGTAATGGTAATGGTAATATTAGCTGTTTCCTTATATGGAAACATCTGGCAATCATTCCTTATATGGAAACATCTGGCAATCATTCCTTATATGGAAACATCTGGCATTCATTCCTTATATGGAAACATCTGGCAATCAATGTTACTTGAGTTACACATATCTTCACTTACTGGCTATTTGCCAGGAATCAAAGTGTAGTATCTGTTCTCCTCATCTCTAATCATAATGGTAATATTAGCAGTTTCCTTCTAAGGAAATATTCAGCGTTCATTGACTGGGCAACCAACATTTAGTTATGCTTCTCTTCATTATCTGGCCATCGTTTGGGATCAAAGTGTAGTATCTGTTCTCCTCATCTCTAATTGTAATGGTATTATTAGCAATTTACTTAGAAGGAAACATTCAGCATTCATTGACTGAGCAGTCAGTGCCACTGTTGGTTGAAATTTATAAAATTTAACAATTTTTCAGAAAAATTGGTTTCTCAGGTCCAGTAACAGTTATTGTTTCTTTGTCTGTGATTCTGTAGTGCCAATCCACAAGGTTCAAAGAAGGATGCTTCTTTCTAAGACCTACAGATTTTAAACTATTGATCCAAGAAAACAGTTTTATACAGCTGACAGTTTATATATGGGATTGATAGCATGCATGATACGCATATGAATGTCTTGATCTGATGAGGCTATTTAAGAACATGACATAAGTTTTTAGGTTATGTTAGTATATATATATATATATATATATATATATATATATATATATAAGAGAGAGAGAGGGAGAGAGAAAGAGAGATATTTACTGATATATATAGATATCTATTGAGTACACTTGAACCTATATATAAATATATATATATATATATATATATATATTGAGTACACTTGAACCTACGTAAATTACTTAAGATTATCTCCTACCACCACCTCTGTCACCTTACATCAATTTAAAACTATCCCTCAAAAACTTGTATTAAAAACAAAACAAACCAAATTCCTTTGTAACTAGAGATGTGACTTGATGAACCAGGAAAAATATCTTTTCTGGGGAAATAAATTATAGTCATGGAACCTTAAGGTTGTCTCTTTCTTAATTATTTAATTAATATTTGCTATGTTTTTACCTTAAGCTCTCTGGATTACATCCCCTTTGGAATTATCCACATGGATTACTAAAGCATATATATATATATATATGTGAAAAGTGCATATAAATATAAATAAATATATATATGTATAATTATTTATATATTATATGCGCGGTACTTATTAGAAAGCGCTCAATATCAGAGATAGAGCTAACATATTTGGATGACAAACTCTGACGATCGCTAAAGCGTGAAACCCAGGGTCACAAACTCACATCTATCCATCCAAATATATATATATATATATATATATATATATATATATATATATATACTCGACTCTCCCATCGAATTCGATGTATGAGGGTCAAGCAGATCAGTTTCTAGGAAACCAACAGCCTGACAACAGGACATGAGATTTGATTATAGTGGTGAAGGTTTCATGCAGGACCATCCACACATTTTGAAGGTCCGAATACAGAGACCTGGTGCCCTACATGCCACGGGGTTCCCAAACGACCCTCCGCAGGTTTTGAATTCAGAGTTCAAATATATATATATATATATAATTCACAAAGACTGTTTTGCTGTATCACAGCTCATCAGTGTGGCTAATCATCCAACTGCTTCAAGCAGAGATATAGATAGATAGATAGATAGATAGATAGATAGATAGATAGCACACAGTAAGGATTGGTGGTAATGAAAGAATGTAAAATAACAGCAAAAATTTATACTAAAAATAAATATTCATTTGTTCCTCATCATTTGGTGCAACTCTGAGTTTCATGTACATATGAATCATCAGGCACAAATTAAAAACTGACAATTGTAATACTTGAATATATATAGCGTACTGGCAAGATAGTGGAGAAATCCATTTACATATGAAAATAATAATAAAAAAATAAATTGGTGAAAATATGAATCGATTAATAAAAAATAACCTGATTAAAAATGAATTGATTAATAAAATATATATATATATATATATATATATATATATATATATATATATATATATATAGCGACAATATAAAATAGAAAATAATAAATAACAAATAAAAACTGCTGTGACCTGATTTTAGTCAATGAAATTGCTTCAGTTAAACTCAAATCTGTGCAATATTGATATAGCTTTTTAGTCCTTCTAGGGCCTTAAATTGTCTTGTGTTGATGTGGCATTTGTCTTTTGCATTAGTTGTTACAGAAATGCTGCATAACATATAAAGAATGACTTCTCTCTGTGTATGGGATTTTTGATAATTTTTTGGTCTTGTCCTATTCAGGCATATATGATCACAAAGTGACTGAGGTTTCACATTTCCCATGTATATGGGAAAAAAGAAAGACAAATACAAGTATTTTAAACTTTCAACTTTGTCTCAGATATATATATATATATATATATATATATATATATGTGAAAATATATAGAAAATAGGAAGGAACTGGTTAGGTAAATAATCCAAAGTTCCTTAGTATTTTAGTTATTATTTTTAAAAAATAGTGCTTGATACAAAAGTAGAGCATAAATATAATTATTTATTTAAAATATGATTCAACTCATGCCATAAGAGAGTCTCATGTTTCAAAACAAAAGAACCGAAAACTTCAATATTTGAATTATTTGAATTAAATTGATTTTAATTCAAATAATTATATTGAAGTTTTCGGCTCTTGTTTTGAAACATGAGACCTCTATGTCGCATGTTGGAATCATATTTTTAAATAAATAATTATATATATATATATATATATATATATATATATATATATATATAAAAAATATATATACATTTTTATATTTCAGAACAATTTTAGAAAATCTATGAAAAGTGGAAAAATTTTTTCATGTGGTGTGGTGTGTTTATTTTCCTACTTTTGTCATAGATTTTCCTAATAATATATATATATATATATATATATATATATATATATATATATATATATATATATATATATATAATATATATAATATAATTAAATATATAATAAAATAACATTTTTAAGGTTCAAATTTTAGCTTGATATATGTTCAAAGTCAATAATATAATATAATTTAAATAAAATAGAAATAAACCTTAAAATGAATTAAGTATGAATAGTTTTTTTTAATGTCATAATTTTAATATTATAATTTTATTGATATATGTTCTATGCAGATGGGGAACTTAGGAACACAACTAAAAACAATTTATATGCAAAATAATTCACAAATAAAAGATTTAAAGGTTCCAAGTGAGTATTAAAAAGAAAATAGTGTTACTCACAACCCTCCTATTAAACATCATTAGTGAATAAAATGCTCTCTTTGCTTACACAGGCCCGGTTTGTGCATCTTAATATAAAATGTCTCAAGTATCTTTAAATGGTGAGTGGACCAGGCCCTGTGTAAAATAGTAAAATATATCATCATCCTACTTATCAGCACAGTCAGGGTTGTCTAACAGTTGCTGACCTATTGTTGAATCATGATTCAGGCTGGATTGTCCTGAAAGAATGACTAAGATTACCTGATTTTATAGTAGCAAGAGCATGTTGACCAATGAGGATCTCTAGTCTCTGATTGGTCCATCCCACATATTCAGCATCACACTGACATTTAAACATACATAACAAAACTATTTTGTAAGGGGGGGACACTGAATGTGTCTCAAAAACAACCTGACAGCTGAAAAACGTGATGTAATACACGCTGACACCCTATCAGCAAGTATTTGACTCTTCCTACCTAAAAAATATAATGTTTTTTCTCAAGTTCGTGTTTAAGGGTATAGGCAGAGTAAATCATCAAGCCAAGATGGACTAAGGTGGATATCAGGTTAATTTTACAGGACTTAGTAACAAAAGAATTCTAGTTAGTATGCACACATACACTATGAAAGAAAAAAAAAACTTGCACCAATACAAAGTGCATATAAAAATGAAAAATCAAGAAGTATAAGCAGGGAATTGATGATAACCCTGGTGAGTGGATGGAATGATTCCAGGAGAAGCCATCTACAAAACTCTGAAGTCAATTTAAATATTTATATATATATATATATATATATATATATATATATATATATATATATATATATATATATATTTATATATTATATATATATATATATAATATTTTTGAATTCACTCTCATGTGGTCATGTGTGATGTCATGAGCTGCGGTGTGATTTTCGCTTCCAGTGTCTTATATGCACGTGTTTATCATTGCTTGTAAATCATCCATGTAAACAGAAACAGACTATCATCGCATTCTTGTCTATGTATTGCTTAATATATTGTACTGTAATTGTCATCTTTGATAATGGCCTATGTAAGTCGAAAGCTTAGATTGGATTAAAAAATATGTATCAATATTGTGATTTGCTTTCTTCGTTTAATGATAATGTTATTAAGCTTATCAGACTTTATGAAAAGAATTTACATAAAATAAATAGACAACACTTGTCTATATTATTTAATGAAACATGCATGAATGAAAAATGCTGCCTAAATACAATAATATATATATATATATATATATATATATATATATATATATATATATATAAACAACTGATTATTTGACTTTTCAGTTGTTATAGAGAACTCAGTATATGTAAATGCAAATGAAGCAATTTCTAAAGAACCAATGGATTTTATTTAATCCAGTTTTTATTACTTGATTCTTTGGAAATTGCTTTGCTTATATTTTGGATACAAAACTGGCTAGATATGGCATTTTGAAAAAATATGAATAAGTGTGCATAACATTCAAATGGAACCTTACTTGAATGTAAATCTCTTCATGACTAAGTAGTTCAAGCATGACATATCAGAAGGTAGTTCCTTCTGCAAAGGAAGATGCAGCTTTGAATCTTTTCAGCTATCATGTTTTTTAATAAGTTTTCTTAAGTGTGCAGGCCAATAAACAAAATAAATACTGTTTTAAATAAACAGCATCTAGTCAAATACAGGTATTGACTAAAAATAATGTTTTAAGTAATTTATATATATATATATTATATGCATGGTATTTATTGGAAAGTGCACAATATCAGTGATAGAGCTAACATATTCAGTCATATTGAGTGCTTTCCAATAAGTAATGCACATATATAATATATATATAAATTATATTATATTATATATATATATATATAAATATATAAAAATATATATATATATATATATATATATATATATATATATATATATATATATATATATATATATATATATTTATCTCCCCAACAGGTTGAGCACTCCCAATGTTCTTACACAAATGCATCGTGACTGAATATATATGTATGTATGTATAAAGGCAAAAGGCAATAAGAAAACTGTATTATTAGCTGACATGTTTCATCCAATGTGGACTTTTTCAAGGCAAAAACAAAATTAATTTATTGAAAACAAAGTAACTATTAACAACAAACAAAATGTCCTTAGCAACCAGAAGAATTTAAAAAACGCTATTGTATTCATATTGTCAACTGAAAATGACAATATGAATACAATAGCATTTTTTAAATTCTAATATGACAGATAAGGTGCTTTGATTAAGTTTTTTATATAATTTCTCTATACCTTTAGCCATTATCAAGAATGAATTAGATTTACTGTTAATTGGAAATGGATTGTTGTATGTATATATTTAGCATTATAGATCGTTTTATTTTCAAAACATGGTTGAAAGCGCTTGAAAAAATAAAACATTTGGACAGTTTTTGTATAATTTATCTACGTAAAAGAAAAAAATTATAAGATCATATGAGAAATTATATTAAAAACTTAAAGCACGTTGTCTGTCATATCTAATGAAGCTTGCATGAAAGAAGGATTAATGCCTAAATACACAATATATATATATATATATATATATATATATATATATATATATATATATATATCAGGAGGCACAGTGGAGTAATAGATAGCGGCTTAGATTGAGGAATCGGAGAGCCAAGTTCAAATTCAATCGAATCCATTACATTCACTTATGTGCTAATATCCTTGGGAAAGGTGTGAATGCTCTTCTTCCCTCCAGCTATAGGTAAATAGCAGGACAGACTGGGTTCTATAGCCTTGGATGGCAACTGGTCTAGGAGAAGGACAACTTCAAATTCAAAACCTGCAGAGGGTTGTTTGGGGACCTTGTGGCACATAGTGCTTCAGGCCTCTGTATTCGACCCTTCAAAAAATGTGGATGGTCCTGGACGAAACCTTCACCACTATAATCAAATCTCATGTGCTGTTGTCAGGCTGTCGGTTTCCTAGGAACTGATCTGCTTGACGCTCATATGTTGAATTTGATGGGAGAGTCAAGTATATATATATATATATATATATATATATATATATATATATATATATATATATATTAATACAAATATAAAATTTGTCACTTAGCTAATTGATGTTATATTCTGCACCTCTACTTTAGAGTTTTATAGCCAAAACTTTGCATAATTGTTTGGTCTACTTGTCATAAGGTATCAGACTGGCTAATTATTTCCAGGCACCTGTCTGCTAGGATGTTTATCCAATCGCCATTGCAGAAATCTGCTCAGGTACATTTTTATTTGTTCAACATTCACTCAGCTGTCTGTGGTTTATACTAGAAATGCATTGAGCAGGAAGTTACAGTTTCTGGGAGAGAGTACATAATTTGTCATGATCAACAGTTTGAACAAGATCAGTACACAAAGACTTGTGACTTCATGCTAGCGCAACCGTCAACAGTTCTGTCTACCTGGTTTCACTTGCAAGGCTCGGGTCAACATGTGATATGGTTTTCAGACACTTTCCAATATTGCTGCACATTGGTATCCCCACCCCAGTCCGATAACATCAAGAAGTCTCCTCCCTGAGAAACCAACCATGGTGAGATGTGAAACATCTCAGAGCTGGAAACAAATGTTCTAACCACTTAGCCACAGTGTGAAAAATAAAATAACCTGCTTTAACAAGCAAAACAGTAATTAAAATGAAATATACAAAACAACTTATTTAACTGAACCCAAAAACTTTTTGTAAAAATTAAAAATACTGAAGAATCAGGTATATATATATATATATATATATATATATATATATAAAGAAATGGACAAAGTCCGACAATTTATTTATTAAAGACATTTTTATGTTTAACGTTCTTTTTATAGATACAAGTATTTAAGTAAATGCTCTGCTTATAATAAACAGTATTAAATAACATTTACCAGCCTGAATGTCCGAGAAATTTTCATAGAAAATATTTGTCCTTTGACAGGATTCGAACCTGCATCCTATACGGAACAGTCATTTACACTGACATGCCTAACCTCTCCGTTATATATATATATATTTTATTTTCCCATTTTTCAACATTTTCCCATTCATACATGTTTCATATATATATATATATATATATATATATATATATATATATATATATATATATATATATATATATATATATATATATATATATATATATATATATATATATATATATATATATATAATATACTGAGTCACTATTAAGAAAACAACAAATAGAAAATAAGACATTCTCAGTATAACCCATAAAATCTACATATGCATCAATACATGTACATATATATGAAGACTTGCTTCACATGCCCATGTATATATTTGTGTTTGCGAATATACTACTCTCATATCATGCGTATGTGCATGCATTTATACTTACATATACATAGGTAAATATATATATATACGGTTACTATCAGACACAAATAATTTTTTTTCTCACAAATTGTCAACAAAGTAAAAATTACTGGGCAAGAAAAGATAGTCTTTCTAAAGCCAATATTTTGCCATGAGGGAAATTTTGTCAAGGTTGGTAGCATGTGGGTGGAATGAGAGTATTAGTGATTGTTTTGGTAGAGGTTACACAAATGTGGGTGATGAGGATAAAAGAGAAAAAAGAAAAGAAAAGGGGTTGAAAAAATCAGAGGAACTGAAGAAATGGAAGGAAAAATAGGAGGGGGAAACGAGATACTGAAAGAGAGATAATTAGTGAGGCATGCTCAGAAAGAAGATGAAAGCTGTAACAGAGAGAGGGTTAGTAAATATATGTTGAACAGAAGACAAAGAAAATGTAAAAAGAAAATAAAAGAAGTCAGGCAGGAAAGAGAAAATAGTAAAAGAAAATAAAGAAACAGAAAAAGAGCAGGAATAAAGAAGAATAATGTTTTGATGAAGGAAAGGTAGAATTGAAAGAAAATAAAATGTAAATTGATAATGGCTGAGAAATATAAAAAGAGAGAAAAGTTAAAAAGATGAAGACAAAAGAAAACTGATCAAAAAAGGTAAAAGAGAAAAAGAAATTATACTGAGAAGAAAAAGAGAAAAGAAAAGAGAAGAAAATGACAACTGAGGAAATAAAATATAAAATGGAATAAAATGTATGAAGTATATATATATATATATATATAAACAAATTAAAACCTGATAAAGAAGATATATATAAACAATACAATAAGAAAAAAAGGATCTGAGAAGAGAATGACAACTGAGGAATAAAATAAAAAAATGAATAAAAAAAAACAAAAATAAGAAAAAGGAGAAAAAATTAAAAGAAAAATTAATAGAGAGGAAACAAAAGAAGGAAAGAAATGAATTTCAAGGACATTGGGAGAAAGAAAAAACAGAAAGATTAGAATAGAAAATAAAAAAGGAAAAAAGAGAGAAATGGTAAGAAAAATGCGAGAGAGAGACAGAGAGAGAGAAAGAGAGAGAGAGAAAGAGGGAGTGTGTCATGTAGTTTGCTTTCTTGCTTCAAATCACACTGAATCAAAGATGACTTCAATGTTAAAGTCCTACGTGAAAGCCAAAGCTGGCAGAGATATCTGCAGGCTGCTCAGAGCCGTCGGCAAAAGTAAAGAGAGCAAGAGAAAGGAGGAAAAAGAGGTGACCAATTGAACAGTGCCAGCTACAAGTTGCTAAGAATTCATGACAGACACTCACATTTGGTGCTGAAAGTTATTTGGCACACTGGAAGGAGAATTGGGGTGGAGTAGTGGGGTGAATGTTATGTCTTCCAACCAAAACCTTTCTTCCAGAATGTATGCTGCACAAATTGATGGAGAATTGTGAGCTGAAAGTAAATGGCATTTGCCAAAAGGTTTATGCTGAAAACCACTATCTTACCATACACAGGTCCTCATGAATTGTACACAATGTTATTGTTATGGTGTGAATAGAAGTCTATTAGATCATTTTTATTGGTGGATTTTCAATAGATGTTTAAAATAATTATCAGTACGGTTTAACATGATATTAAAGAAAGATTGTTTCTGTTTCATAAGTAAATTCAGTTGTATATTCAATGTTTATATCACTAGAATTTTTTGCAACATGTTGATGTTGAAAATACATTATTTAATCACTAACATTTTTTGTTGAGATTTACAAACTACATTTCATTCAATTTTGCAAACCGATTGAAATTTGAATAAGCTGATTTGTTTAGAAAAATACTTTGATAAAAACTTTACTTTGCATTTTAATAATTTCTTTAATTTAACTTACTTTTATAGGACTTCATAGTAAGCAATATTTTTTAAGAAAATTTCTTTTCCTCCTTTTTGACAGCAAAGAATCAATTCTTAGGATTTCTTATTCTTGAGCATGCAATATACAACTGGCCATTCATAAATATTTCCTTCTTGAGCCAAATTTCAATTTTTTGAAGCATTTGGCCCTGTGATTTGCTTATAAACGCAAAGCAAAATGGAAACTGGATTCTTATGTATAAAAGCTTAAAGAAAAGATAAGCAAGGAACAATATTACATTTTTATTAAATAATTATTTATTATTTTAATCATTATATTGTTTTAAAAATAGGGGAAGTATTTTGTATGTTAAATAATAAAGCTTTTATTTTTTCCAAAAAAATGAATGAAAATTTATTGTACTAAGCTATGCACTCTAGTAAAATCAAATGAACTTTGTACCCTTTACCTGCTTGCACTTCTCAGAATTTGGTTTCAATTGATCAATTTATGGCTATTTTAAAGGGTGTGACAGATGGACAGATTAACAGAAGTCACAGAATTTTATATATAAGATTTACAAGATCAGGTAATACTGCTTTACAGAGATATATTAATAAAGCATCATTAATATGTTGATTGCTTAGGTAAAATCTTTTGGGAAAACTGGTTTTTAGAAATGCTAAGAAAAGACAATGTAACACATCACTAAGAAGAGATTCTATCGGTAAGCCAAATTATTTATCTATAAAAATTATTACCAAAAGGGAAATAACATTCATCAGTTATAAGTCTAATATATGCAAAATTACATGGAAAGACATAGGATAACTAGAGCTGATAGAAAACTTATGTAATACAAGATTATCCAACACTAAATATCAACTTCAGACTGTCACAATTGAAAAAAAAAGAGGAGACACAATAATTAAGAACTTGTGAAGTGGGGTCTGGCAAGACATAACACTTAACTTGACAGCCAGTCATGATAGTAGTATTCAATACTCAGCTAGACAAGTCATGGCAATAGTATTATTTTCCTCTTTTACAATTACCCAGGACTACTTATCATGAATGGATCAGTCTATTCATGATAGTAAGGAATGTAATTGGCTCTTACCACAACAGAATCACAAGCATATCGATACAGAGTTTAATGATGGTTTCACTCAAGGATTAATCTTCTCTTTATATATGCCATGTTGTTTCAGGATGTTGATGATTATGGCTCTCCAAAACTTCCTGCTATCTACCACTTTAGGAACAGATAGCAAAATAATGTTATCATGAAGACACATGAAAGCACTAAAAATTTAACCATAATAAAGACATTTCCCTCACTGCCTTGGACAAAGGAGATGGGATTGTTATCATGAACAAGAATAATTGCAATGAAAGAATAAGATTGTTACACCATGATATGAACGTTTATGAACAGAAATCAATGAAGATAAAATAATTTCCGAGACATAATATTATAAAACAAATTCCTTGCAAATCTTTGGTTGATATCAAATGAACTGCCATACAGATTATAAATTATTTTTCTCTCTCTCTCATGTATTCTTCTTTGTGCCATTTATCTTCAGGACATGGACAATCATGACTCCCTACAACATCCTGTCCTTTGTAGCTCTAAGAAAATTTTGTCTTTTCACTATCTCTACTAATCCCTGTTTTGCCAACCATTTACACAAGCTCCTTCTTCATCATCTTCTATGTGCCATGTTTCTTAAAGGATGTAGACAATCATGTCTCTCCACAACTTCCTGACCTTTCTAGCTCTTACTAAATTTGTCTTTTCACTATCTCTACTAATCCCTACTCTGCCAAATATTCACACAAGCTTCTTTTTTGTGCCATGTGTCTTCAGGACGTGGGCGATTATGACTCTCCTCAAATTCCTGTCTTTTGTAGCTCTTAGTAAATTTTGTCTGTTTTCTATCTCTCCTAATCTCTGTTCTGCCAACCATTTACACAAAGCACCTTCTTCTTCTTCTTCTTCTTCTTCTTCTTCTTCTTCTTCTTCTTCTATATAATTTGTCCCTTCAGAACACGGGCGATCTTGACTCTCCCCAATTTCCTATCCTTTTGTAGCTCTTAGTAGATTTTGTCTTTTCGTTATCTCTCCAAATCCCTCTTCTACCAGCCATTTACTTAAATGTGTTCTTTTTCTTTTCCTATGTACCATGTCCATTCAGGATGTGAACAATCGTGGCTCTCCACAACTTCCTGTCCTTTGTAACCACTAGTAAAGTTTGTCTTTTTGCTATCTCTCCTAATCTCTGTTCTGCCAACTATTTACACAAGCTTGTTAGGTATGTCATGAACTGCTTTCTACTATCCCTCTTGCCTTCAATATGTTTTGTGAGTGTCAAATATGCCAAGCACTCTTTCCTGACTATGTGCACTAGAAATTTCAACCATCACTTTCTTGTGCTATACATTAATGTTTGTTTTTTGCCTCCTTTTTCTCTAAAACTTTGTTGGTGTTAAGTCCACATGTTCAGTCCAAGGTATTCTCAGCATCCTACTGTAGAACCACATTTCTGGTTGCTCAAGTCTCTTTTCCATCGCTGAGGAGATTGTCCAGCATTCACTGTCATATAAGAGTAACAGCATTACTTAAAAGTTCAATACTTTTCTTTGTTTCCAATTAAATTTTTCTGTTTCTTAATCCTTTGCTTAGTTTTTAGAAGGCATCTTTTGATATCTCAATAGGCTCCAGCTTTTAGTGTCAAATCTTTTATCCTAAGTTGAAACACTACCCAAACATCTGTTTAATTTTATTATCTCTAATTTGTAATTTGCATGTTGGATTGTTTCTTTTACTGACAACTATACATTCTTTCTTACAATTCCTTTCTTCTCGCTTTCCTTCACTACTTTCTTTAGAATTTCCTGTAGTTTCCATTCTATGTCTGCTATCAACACTGTGTCATCTGTATATCTAATGTTGTTAAGACCATAGTCACCAATAATGAATCATGATTCATCTAATTCACTCAGGACTGCTTCACTGTAATGGTTGAATAAGTCTGGTGAGAAGACGCATCCTTGTCTTATACCCTTTCTATTTTCAACAGTTCTTTGTAACATACCTTGTCAAACACTTTTGGATAATCTATAAAACATAGGTGCATATCTCTTTGTATTTGTATTGCTCTTTCTGATATCATTTTAAGCATAAATATTGCATGTTTTTCTCATGTACCATGTCCAAAAAAAAGAAGATGGTCGTTTATGGCTCTCCACAACTTCCTTTTCTTTTGTAGATTATATAAGGCTCTCCACAACTTCCTTTTCTTTTGTAGGTAGATCATTGTTAAAAGTCAATACAGAGATTGGCATGAAAAAAATCACCATGATCAAGTCTTCAGGCTGGTTTGGAATCATGTCCTTCACCTTACTGGTTACCACCCAAAGCTACAGAACCCTGTTTACCTTACTATTTAATGCATAGCTGGAGGCAAAGAGATAAATTCAAGATTTTTCAAAAGATATTTGTGCAAAATTGAATGCAGGAGGCTAGGCTGGAATTTGAATTTAGCTTACCAATTCCAGTTTTCATGTTAATATATGTTACATCTCATCAATTTACAGTTGAGCTGGCTCTATGTAACCATAAATTCTTTTCTCTCACTTCTTACTTGTGGAACACCCTTCTGGCTCTATGCTTTCCAGCCAATTTGAATCTGTAAAAATTTAAATGCAATGTCAATCGTTATCTACTATCCTCTTGATTACTCTTTCTTCTTCCCACTCATTATTAATGCATTTGTTCCTAATTCTTCCACACACTGTAAACCCTTTGTGTCTTAGTGGCCTTACTGACTTGCATGGGGTGATACCAATTTAATATATATATATATATATATATATATTAAAAAAAAGCAACTCTATTACACAATTTTTTTAATTTCATCTGTTTTATAAAGTTCTAATAAGTTTCGCAAATTTTGCTTACCTCCTTTTAGCAAACAACAATGTTTCAGATGAAACAGGATTTTATTTAAAATACAAATCAAATGAAACACATTCCTTAAAAAACTTGGAAAACCATTAAACATCCTTCAAGTAGATCGATTCTTGCGAAGTTATTAAAACTTTATATAATGAATTTGATAGCCACATATGGCACTATAGAAAAATATTCAGTAAAATATTTTGTAAAATACTTCTAAAATATTCTGTAAAATGCTTCTAAAATATACTGAAATGTTCTGTAAAACGATTCTAAGATATTATGTAAAATGCTTCTAAAATATACTAAAATATTCAGTAAAATATTCTGTTAAATGTTTCTAAAATATTCTGTAAATTGCTTTTAAAATATACTAAAATATTCTGTAAAATACTTCTAAAATATACCAAAATCTTCAGTAAAATATTCTCTAAAATGCTTCTAAAATATTCTCTAAAATGCTTCTAATACAT